CTCTCTCTCTCTCTCTCTCTCTCTCTCTCTCAGTCATCCGCTGCTGACTTTAATGGCTCCATTGGAGGACGCACGCAGAGCAAGGAGTGTCGGGTGTACAGTAGAATGTTTTTGAGGGGAAGTGAGGACGTCCACTACAGCTTCCCGTGGCTGATGTAACCCCCCCAAGGACCCTCGTGGAGGACGTTTCTGTGTGGAGTGCCGGACGGGTGGTTAAGAAAGAAAGTGGCATAATTCTTGGCTCCATCGATTTCCCCCCAAGAAGGGTCCAGTGGCATCCTGCCCTGCCCTGCAGATGGTGCTCAGCCTGGCCATGGACTCCAGAGAGGATGGGGACAGCTGGATGGAGGAACAGTGGGAGAAATGGTACAGTAGTGATGCAGCTGTGTCCCCTGCACAGCCTTTTTGCGATCCTTGGATCAGCTTGTGTGTTCTGAAATAGGCCAAAATGTTAGTTTGGTGTGCATGAAGGAAATATATGTAGGGTTATGGATGGGACTGAATGAGATGTGAAGGTTTTGTAATTTCATGTGTGTTTAGTGTTTCTGATCTAAAATTAGGCTTGCTTTGAGTCTTTTGCATGGTACAAAATCATAATCAAAAGATAAAATAATGACTGTGGTCTGCAAAAAGAAGCTTATAGTTCTACTAGGTTCATTTGATTGACTACATTTATGTTAAATTGTCTTGTTCATCTTATCAATCTAGAAATGTGGCAGCTGCACAATTGCAGGTATCTAAACAGGAAGCACTGCAAATTTAGTATGTCGTATGTCGGAGTGCTTTTAAAGCTTAATTTATCAGTATATGGCTACACTCTAAAAAATGCTGGGTTGTTTCAACCCAATGTTGCGTCAAATATGGACTAACCCAACTGTTGGGTTAAAAAGTTAATTTAAAAATGTAACCAAAATTTAACCCAACAGTTGGGTTAGTCCATATTTGACCCAACATTGGGTTGAAACAACCCAGCATTTTTTAGAGTGTAGCTTGCAGACAGAGGGTATAAGAATACTGAAAAACAACTTTATTCAAAACATTAGGTAGAGTAAGAATGTTGTCATTAAGCAAGTTCATACAATGTGTTAAATCAGCATTTAGCATTTACATTTAGGAAAAAACAGAAGAATTGTTTGTTTTTGCTTATGCTTTCTTACAACAGATTTCCATATGCATAACTTACATAATTCTGAATATAACCTTGTAATATTCTTTTATGTAAATTTGTTTGTATATACATATAAATTGATTTAAAGGTTTATTAAATAGACTTAAAGTTAAATAAACTTTAAGTTAGCAGAACACCAACTGATAACTCCAGGATTACATTAAATGACTAAAAGAAACTACTTTAAAAGAAAGTGTGTGTATGTATATGTATATATATATATATATATATATACATACATAAACACACACATGTTCTTATTTTATTTACATTTTTATTTGCATTTATAGATCAATGAGTAATACGCCTAGAAGTTACAGCATTGCAGTAGTCGTGAAGTTATCAGATGCGCAGGCAAGCCATGCCCTCTCTGTGTATGACTGTCTAGCGATGGCCTCATGGAGGGATGACGTAGTGTGTCACTATCTGTGTGGGTGTGCTGGCACTTTGCAGGTTAACCCATGACATCAGTCTGAATGAATACGAGGATGACGACCTGTCAGAAATGACAGAAATCATGGATGAGAATGGAATCACTCTCAGCCAGCTCGACCTCGACCCTAAAGTAAGTTTGTACCCTAAAATAAACTTACTGTACAGATTTGTCTGTTTTCATAGCTGGCATTTTGGGGTAAACATACATTTTCATACACTCTCAGAAAAAATGGTACAAAAGCTCCCACTACGGAAGTACCTTTTCAAAAGGTACACTTATGTACCTTATTTACCCCTAAATTTGTAACTTAAAGGTTCATTTTAGCATCTAAATGGCACATATTAGTACTTTTTGAAAAGGTACTGCCCCAGTGACTTTTTTTCTGAGAGGGTATTATTAATTTAGGTTATTTTAATTTAAATATATTTACTTGTATATTTAAGCAATATATGTGTATGTAATTTTTACCATTTATTTATTTTGTTGGTGTATATGTATATATATGTGTGTGTGTGTGTGTAACGGGGCTGACGAGACGTGAGACGTGTGGATCCATCTGCAGGCTTTATAAGAGACTTCTTTAAAAAACATTAAAAGTCTTAATGTCTAACTGAATATATATTGTGGTGTCAGGGTTTACTCTAATTTTTGGGAGGTGTGCCAAAGCACCACCTGTACATGCCTATATGGGTTAATTAACATCTGCTCTGAGCCTGTAGCTAATCGCCAGTGGGCTAAAATCCAGGTATGAACTTACAGCTCACTACATTAGACTAGTTCAGGAGTCAAACCTTACACTTAACTTTAGATTTATTTACAACTACAAAATCATTTTATGTAGAAAACAAAAGATAATGTTAGGCAAACATCAGTCACCAACTCTAAGTGTGTGTAAAGGAGCAGCTTGGACATTCTGTAAAACATTTTCTTTTGCTTTTTATGAACAAAAAGTCAAACTGGTTTAAAATGACATGAGGGTGAGTAAATGATGACCAGAGTTGACTTTTGCATGATCTATCCCTTCCATTTTTTACCTCCTTTGTGTCCTCCTTTCATTAAAATGACTTTAAAGAGTATGGACTATAGTACTAATCACAGTTATCTTAATTCAAAAACAGTAGATGTCAACAGGCGGTCCTAACCACAAAGAAAACGTGTATATGTGGTTTATCTCCACCCTAAAACCAAACAGTCACTTATCTTTCCATGAGACACAGTCTGGAACTGAATGAGGAATCATCTGACAGTGCAGAGCTTGGCGAGCTGTTTACCCCACAGCAAAAATAGATTTCTAGGTCAAAGGCACATCATCTGTGTCCAAATATGTGTATAGATTGAGAATTTTAGTATTCGTATGAGTGAGTGAGTGAGTGAGTGAGGTCACAAGAGACTGTTGTGTTCAGAGCCAATTAGCATAGCAGTCAATTAGCATTAGCATTTGACATGAACACTGAGGGAAGCTGTCAACGTCAATCACATCTGACTTTTTATCATTTAACCACTTAAAAATCCCTCATGTATAATTTCACAACTTTTTATGTGATTATTAGCATCATACTATATGTGTGTATGCTAGAACATCTGTGTTTGAAGACAATAAGGCGGTTTAGAGGAATTGGTTTGACAGAGAGAATTTATAATGTTCAGTCTCATCTGGTGGTTTAACATATGATATCATTGTCTGACCGCTTAAATAAAATCCATAATTTATGATTTCACAACCTTTTTATGTGATAATTAGTATTGTAAGTGTTGATGCTAAGAAAAGCTGTGTTTAATGATTTAGTATAATGACTTTGACAGAGAGAATTCAAAACATTTTAAATTACATCAGATGATTTATCATGATTATCATCATCTGACAACTTAAACAAAGTCCCTCATTTAGGATATAACAATCTTTTTAATGTGATAATTAGCATTGTAAGTGTTAATGCTAAGAAAATCTGTGTTGAAAGACAATAAGTTTCAGCATAATTGGCTTTGACAGAATTTATAACATGTTCAATAACATCTGTCTGTTTAGCATGGATATCATTATCAAACCACTATCAACAAAAATCCTTCATTTTTGATTTCACAGCCTTTTAATGAGATAATTGGCATAGTGTTTATGGTAAGAAGAGTTGTGTTTAAAGACAATAAGGCAGTTTAGTGTAATTAAACATGTTATAATCTCTCTCCTCGTCATTTCTGGGTGTGTTTATTTTGCTTCTGTCGTGTGACACGCCTCATTGTTCTCTGGGATTGAATTAGCTTTCCTTACAGCAGCCAGGAAGGGAGCCACAGGCTGATGTCATCACCGCGCTCTGATTGGCCGGCTGCGTCTGACTGCAGCTCCTCTGCTCTAGCCTCTAAAACTCTGCTGCCTGCTCTTCCCAGGATCACATGTTTCAGCCGACCAATGGTACGCCGAGGAGCAGCCGGAGGAGGAGGGTGGTGGAGCTGCAGACGGAGATGCTCCACTTGGACCTGACTGATGCAGAGGGAGGAATCTTGGAAGAAGAGGAGAACGAGAGGCCGCCGGTTGATGCCGTCGATGACAACCACAAGGAAGAGCAGGGCGCAGGGCCGCCTGTCACTCAGCCTCAGCTAAAGGATTTAATCCCTGCCGTCGCCATGGATACATACCGGCCCAAGAGACCCACCACCCTGAATCTTTTCCCCCAAGTGCCAAGGACTCAGGTGAGACGGACAGTTTTGGCAGCGGCCTACAGTCTTTAAGAGGCTTGTGATTACATCCGAGGCAGATAGACAGGGATTAGAAATTGTTTTACAGTAAAAGTGATGATTTCCATACTGCACAAACAGGATCTCGAGCCATAATGTCATCACAAGCCGTTCCCCTGGAGGGATGGCGTGTATTTTCAGTGTGTATGCAAATCGGTGGCATGTAGCGTTCGGGTTTCTTTGATACTCCTGGCCGGTGATGTTGATGATGTTTCCTGTTTTTGAGCTCCCGCTCGTCCCACCTGCTATGCATCACTGCTATCCGCCCCCCGTGTAATGCAATCCGACAAGAAAGAGTTAGAGTGGATCATTACTGTTGACCTGTGAGGGTCAAACAGCAGGGGGCGGCACTTTAATGGGTCGATTTGAACAAAATATAACGAGGTGAGAGTAAAAACCCTGTTTTTTGGATGTCGTGTGGTGCTCTTTTTGAAAGGGTTGTGATTGACATTTTTGGGCTAGCTACTCTAGATAACTTGTTGATCTATATATCATGTTAGAAGAGACCGGGGCATGTTGTCTCAGTTTTTAACATTATAAATGTGTTAAAAAGTGTTATTACTTTCTTATTAGTGTGCATAATCTTACCTAGTGTTGTTATTGTTAAATCAAAGTAAAACTATTAAAAATAGTTTCTGGTAATTGAAATGAAGCTTAAATAAAATAAATATTAGATACAAACAAATATATATTTTTTTTTAATCTGAAATGTTGCCTTGGCAATTAACCGAAATAAGTTTAAGTGCCAATATTACTAAACTAAAACTGAAAAAAAAATAAAATAATAAAGTAAAATAAAATAGTTAAAAGTATTTAAAAATAAAAATAATTATAATGACAAAAGCACATAACAATATTACTAAAACAAACTAAAATGCATTAAATGCCATAATATTATACAAAAAAAGTATTAAATACTATAATGATATAGAAATAGTATAACACTGATATTACTTTTTGAGTCTTCTTTCCATAGGCGGAGAGTGTGTAAGGCTGGGGAAGGCTTAGGGTCTGGGGTCTGCGGTCTTGGGGCAAAAAATGGCACTAAATTGGACAAAAATGCCCCTGCACAAACAAATTAAATCTATTACGTCTGTTGCTAACAAAGTGTAAATGAATAGAAAGTGTCGACTGCGCATTAAATTAAGATTTGCTCATGTTGCACCGTATTTCATTTTAGACGTTTTTACAGTGTTGCGCATTTTAACCAATCACACACGGTTCTGTTGAGCTTAGGAATGCAATGGCCAATCAGAGGCGTTCATATCAGTCATCGCTGAAATTCATCAGCTTTGTTGAATGCGCGCGCGTTCGCTGACTGAATTCCGCGACTTCCCTCATCATAAACAACAAAGCGTGTAAGTAAGGAATTCATTTCGCAGTGTAGACAGCTTCAGTGGTTATAACATAGTTTTGTTTTCTGAGAGTGCGATAGATCAAAGTTAGTGAAAATGTCATTTCTGTACATAATTGATTCGCAGACGTTTTTACAGTGTTGCGCATTTTAACCAATCACACTTGACTGAATTCTGAATTCCGCGACTTCCCTCATCATAAACAACAAAGCGTGTAAGTAAGGAATTCATTTCGCAGTGTAGACAGCTTCAGTGGTTATAACATAGTTTTGTTTTCTGAGAGTGCGATAGATCAAAGTTAGTGAAAATGTCATTTCTGTACATAATTGATTCGCCGTTTGAATAACCGTGGAAAGGAAACGTTATATAATTATCAATTTCTAATGTTTTAATTAAAATGTAATCACGTTAAATACAAATTCAGTCCCATTAAACATTTTATTAGCCTACATGACACCCATGTCTGGTTCTTGCCGGGTTTATGATGTTTGTAGTTAATAGATTTGGCTGCTTTTAGCCTTACCCTGGAGTTGGTTCACCCTCCGCCTATGCGTCTTTCTATCTTTGTTTTGAAGTGCATCATGGGTAATGAGGCTGAGGAAACTAAATGATTTAAATAATGGCCCAGCACTGATCTCCTGAAAAGACTCCCAGCCCTGAACTGAACTCAAAATTACCTTTAGTTTTTTCTATTACTGAAATTGTATTTGCTAATGCTGCTTGCTGTCATTTTCAATATTGCTCCGAGTTTTTTCAAAAAGACATTTATGATCATAAAGATTCTAGAAATAATGGTTTTATATGTTCCGTATTTTCAACTCAACACAGTTTAAATAAATATGGTCATCATTTACTAACCCTAATGTAAATCCAAACTTCTATCTTTCATAGAACACAAAGGGGGATATTTTGCTGAATGTTCCAGCTGCTCTATTGCATATATTAAAAGTGTCAAAAAGTACTTTATTCCAGATCTTCTGATCTCATTATTGATTTAATACAGGTCAATAATACAGGTTTGGAATGACATGAGGGTGAGTAAATAATGAAAGAATGTTCATCTTTAACCTGCGCTGAGCTAAAAATGCACATATTTAACATAAGGCAGTTTAATCAGGTTGTTCTGCAGTAATTGCAGCATAATTACTATTATAATAAATGATAAATTATAATATACCATCTTATAGCATTAGTGCTGGCCAGTCCAGTGTCACGAATTCCCAAATCACCGGATATATTGAAACCAGTGGTGATTATCATTAAGACTCGCAAAAGCCCACTTGTATTATATCTAATTACTTTGCCAACTGGTTATTATGAGGTGACATGAAACCTCGTAGTTGCTTGTGTAAAAAAAAACAGGCTTTTGCTTGAATCTTTGAGCACACTGAATTATATCCAGGTCGGCAGACTGTTTTACGATCAGAGAAGATAATGGATGACTGTAAATGTGCTTCCCTGTCTTTAATCTAATAATCTTGGCTTGTCGAATCTCTCCACGTCTGCAGCATTGGCACAGCCGCTGGGCTCAAAGGGCATTTGAGGAATTAGCAAAGAGCTTTTCAACAGAAAGAGAACAGAGTTATTGGGTAATACAAGTAAAACCATAAGAAAGTCTGCTCTAAAAATATCTACATTGTGACGGTAATATTTTAGGCCTGGGTGTTGGCTGAAACCGGGTGTGCCTCTCACGTCCTGAAAAGTGAAGCTGCCAGCTCTTTGATCGCCCCTGGTGGCTGGCTGCAGTACAGGTCATAAACCCCGCCCTCTCCATGTAAACGAATGGGACTTGAGTCAATATAAAAAAAATAAATTACATTTCCAATACAATTTTCCGAAATATGGTTTTGTTCATTTAAGGTAGTTGTTATCACTCTGATATATGTTCAATTGTTCGTTTTTGTGATAATTTTGATTTTAGCTAGTAATTTGATGCTATAAAAACAGGGCGTGTCGTTATGGTTGATTGGGTCTGCTGGAGTTTGATACCACAGCTCCACCTCACGACACTACTGCGCAGACTCTGGCTCCAAACAAATCTCTACTGCGCAGACTCTGGCTCCAAATGACGTCATTTGCTCAAGATGGCAGCGGCCATACTGAGATGCTTTGGCTTCACTTTTCTATAGTGGAAGGAAGTGGAGATGCGTCGTCCATCTTTTTTTTACAGTCTATGGCTGAAACCCTAAGAATCAATGTGAAGCGCTATTGACAACTTATTTCTATCACTTCTGTAATCTGACACGTTTCTGAGAGAAATGGGATATTCAACCGTTAAAAATGTAAAGACTTGATTTTACGAGGAAATATTTTTAAAAGTGGTCATGTCATACCTGAATGGAATTGGAGGGGCTTTGTGATCTCATCCAAAAAGGAAGGTCGTTTTAGATGCAGAGCAAGTTATTAATTTTGATAAAAGATTATAAAGACTTTTTTTTTACTTAAAATAATATGCACCAATGATTTATGCACCAGGAATGTGCATTAAGAAACTAAATAGGGTCAAGTCTTGTTGAATTTGACAATTTCACATTATTGTCATAAAAGGGACATTTTTTTATGAATTTATTTGGATTTGATTGAATTTTGTGGATAAGTATTAAAACTGGCTGCCTTTTTGACTGTTTAAAGACCCCATTAAATAAATTAACTTGCATTTTTTTCTTTTGTTGGCATATTTCCTATTGAAATTATTTGTCTGGGCAGAAGTAGTCCCTTTAAAAAAAAGAGCCAATGGCCTTTAGTTAATATTTTTAGGTTTAAGGACATTCTTACACTAGAAAGCATCTGATTGGATGAAACAGTGTAGCGGAGGATGAGTCATCAATATTTCAGTATCAATAATATGCATTTTAAATCTGCTAAAGGTACTTTTAGGAGTACATTAGAATATAGATAACGGTATATCTGATAGTAGCATATAGGTAACTGTGTATATAGCATATAGATAACAGTTTATATAACTGTAAATTCTTTGAGAAACGTCTTTCTCAAATTTCAATGTTACCTATTTTATTTCCTGCAGAGATAAAGATTACTTAATTCTAGTCTGATATTAGTAGACCTACAGTAATAAACTGAGACAGGCTCCGATTAATAAACTAGATAGCAGAATTGTGATGATAGAGTTTCTCCATCTGGTTTCTTTCCTCATACTGTTTTAGTGTCACTAAATAAGAGCATCATATCAGCCATCTGTGTCGTCTTTCTCCATCACGAACACTACTGTGTGTTCCCATCTACCCCCACACTTACGCACACACTGACATGCTCTCACGCATGCCAATTCCTGCATCATCAATTGGGCGTGTTGCTATGACAACATAGGAGTGTCAGTGTTAAAGGTGCATTATAGCGTGGTCAATTCGTGAGTCAGCGTCAGGAAAGAGCAGTAAATCTATTGGTCAGATTGCTCTTCCTGTAACTCTCTCGTTTTATGGACTTGTCAAATATAGTTTCTGTTTCACTATATGATAGAAAAGCACCTAAAATGTGGTGACAATTAGTAATGCTGACAAAATCACATGATTTATCCAAGATGGAGGGATGTACATGTCTGTCTGTGTTTTAGTGTAATTTTTTACCTTTTTTATTTATTTATTTTAGAAATATAAAAAGCTATCCAAAAATTGTATCATATTTAGTTTTGGTATATTTTTTTGCAAGTGTTAATCTAAACAAAATTGACTCTCTCAGCATTTTGTATATTGAAAAACCTATCCCTCATTCTTTTTACTTTAATCGCAGGACACAATAAATAACAATTCCTTTGGTGAGAAAGAGCGGAGGAAAGAAAAGAAAACCCATTCTTCATCACCACACATTAAGGGTGAGTAATGGCCACTCACACCACACAAATGAACATGTCTGAAGAATTGCTGAGACTTGAATTTTCCAGACAAGTAATTTTCCATAATCACTTCTATGCATTAGAGGAATTACCATGAGATAAATGAAAGAAATACAAGATGTAGGTGTATTATTGTTCATACTGTAGGTGTTTTTGTAGTATTCGCTTCCATGGAATGAAAAAGTGTTTACGTGTTGTAATTAGCTTAATGGGATTTTCGTCAATCTACTTACCCAGAGAGTTCATCAGATATCACTTGTGTCTGACTCTTCCAGTATGAAAAAAGGTTTGGATACTGTAAAGCTAATGTGTTTAATTTTTGTTTAAATACTTTATTCTGTTCCAGCTTTACACATCATTGGAGTGTAAATATTATGGCTTTGTCACAATTTAGATGAGTTTACTATATACTAAAATGATATGCTTCCCTAATGATGGGAAATTTGCATTTGGCATATGTAAGCATTAGCACCTACCTAAGCGCATTACCCGTCTGTATGAAATTAAAAGTCACACTATTTTCTATTATCTATTTTATAAACCCATGTTTTTTATCTTATTGTGAACAATTCATGTTCATGTTTAATAATAATAAAAAATAATTCATTACATTTATATAGCGCTTTTCTAAGCACTCAAAGCGCTTTACATTGTCAGGGGGTATCTCCTCATCCTTTTTTATTTTACTGTGAATTTCACCCACATACCAACAACAGTAAAACCAGCCATCGACACCCTCCCCCCACCCCCCAAATAAAACACAACATGAGTAATAGGACAAACTATGCAAATATATATTTTTCTTCAAATAGACACTCTACTCATTGGTTGTTACCCTAAACCAAATTTTGGCTTGTTTACAGGTTTATTCCTCACCATGATGATGAGTTGGAGTTGGAGGCAGATGACCCCTTACTGGTTGAGGTGCAGGCCGAGGATCTATGGTGCGAGGCCTACAACATGCGCACTGGATCCAAAGGCATCTTCCCTGCATTTTATGCCGTCAAGGTGACAAAGGATGAACTTGTTAAAGGTACATCTTGGCTTTGCTATAAGTATTTTAAGTGTTTAAGCTTTTGTATCTTGTGCATTGAGGAATAATGGCCTTCTCTGTCTGCTGTGATTTATGCAGAGGTCAAAAGTGACTGGATGGACAAATTCTGGGTAAAATTCCTTGGTTCTGTTCAAGTTCCGTATCACAAAGGGAATGATGTGCTTTGTGCCGCCATGCACAAGGTATACTAATCCATTTCTGCATTATAATTCTGCCCTGGATTTCCATATATTTACATAATTACAATGACATGATGTTGTTCATATGTAATCTGATGTTCAAATGCAATCTGATTATGTCAACAGATAGCATCAAACAGACGAACAACAATGCGGTTCAACCCCCCTTCGCCTTGCATTCTGGAAATCAACACACAAGGATTGAAAATCATCGTTCAGGATGACTGTCGGACTTCTGGAAGGGTTTGTATACTGTAGCAGACCTATAATATTCTTTTAAAAGAAGCACAAGGGTTTTCAAACCTTAAAGTAAAAAAAATAAATAAATAAAAATCGATATTATTTGATAATTTATGGAAGTAATTCGATAAAGGTTTGATGGTCTCAATTTAATTTGGATAATTTTTATCCTTATTTTAACCTTGTTTTTGATATTTCTAACGTTATATTTGAAGTTATATATATATTTCTCTCATGAAATTTTCAACATTTTTGAAACTTCAATCTTGAAATATTATGATACTAATTTATATGATATCAAAAATGTTGGAAAAGGATGAACTGAAAACTGAGCCACACCAAGCAATGATACAAAACCTCACAGAATTCATATAATCTATTGCAAAAAGTGATATTAACTAAACCTATGATATGGGTTTTATAAATTATCATTTAAAAAAAAAGAGGGCATGTTAGATCAATGTTATGAAGAAACATCTGGAATAAATTCATATTAAATTAAAATTATAAAAAATATTTTGCAATATAATATTAGAACACATACAATTAAATAAATAAATAAGAACAGCATTTATTTGAAACAGAAATCTTTTATAGCATTATAAATGTCTTTACTATCACATTTGATTAATTTAATGCATCTTTGCTGAATAAAATAATAAAGCTGTAAAAACAATAACCCAATTTTTACCTATCTATAGTTACAACGGCCCCTACAGGAAAAAAGAGAACATACAACAATAACAAGATACTAGACAGTAAATACTCTGTGTGTTTCTTTCAGGTATTTTGGAGTAATAACGAAACATCCAGCATACCAGAGATTCGCCTGTCATGTGTTCTTTTCAGATGATACAACCACAAAACTGGCTGAATCTGTTGGGTGAGTGCTCTAGTTGCTTAAAGATCCCACAAACACAATTTTTGTTTCTCGATTTGACTTATTTCTTGTTGAAACACTAACTAATTTATTGTGGAACATTTCCTACTCATTTAACATACTGCTTTTTGTATGTTACAAATCATTATGTATACTGCATATACAGTAGTATACATGGTTATTTGCTAGGTGATAGCAGGCGGCATATCATCTTCATTCTAGTAAGCATTTGATTAGATAAAGTAAATTAACGTATATGGTCCATTATCCAAGAAACAGACATTTTTTACACAATTTTTTACAAAATCTTGTTGTCAAAAGTAAACTTTTAGCAGTATGTTTGGCTAAAAGATATGGACTAAAAACCACAAAATGTTGAGTTTTCTTTACTTTTCTTTCTTTTTTTCTCATTCGAGTCTTTTTGCTGATTGGTCAAAAGGGAAAATAGAGTGCAACAGTGCCTGTCCACTATTTATTTTTCCCATAGTGAAAAAGTCTTTGTAAAGAAGTTATAAGCCATGAACTAAACCAACCGGCTACAAGGTGATTCACAATGTTACAAACTTTGATTTGAAGCCAAGAAGTATATGAAAACTGGACCAAAAACAAAGGTGCAAGACTTTGTGGTTTTAATGAGGGAAAGAACAATCGCATTAAACATTGTGAATGACAATTGAATTAAAAGCAATAGAGAAATATAAAGCTACTGATTTAAAGATGTTGATTACAATATGTTTTGTTTATTGCAAAATATGTTTATATATACAAAATCTTTAAGTAGTTTGAGAGCATATTATAGAGAGACTGACTCTAAAGAGCTCTAAAGAGTTATTTTGATGTAGTTGGTGGAGATTCTCTGAAGAATCATGGGTAATGTAGTTTTCACCAGGAATTCTGCTATTAAACATGATTATTAAAAAAAAAGAAGAAAAAAGTAGTAGTAGTTAAAATAATGCAGGCTGGTGCCTTCAACAAAAGCATATACCATTGATTAACAACATTGTAGCTTAAAGGGATAGTTCACCCAAAAATGAATTATTTCTGTCATTACTTACCCTCATGTCGTTCCAAACCCGCAAGACCTTCGTTCATCTTCGGAACAAAAATTAAGATATTTTTGAGCTACGAGCTAAAACAAAAACAAAGACTTTATTCAACAATTCTTCTCTTCCCTTTCACTGTCCTCCTCCATTCACGAGAGTACCATGACGCACGCATGTGGTGCTGCTGACATAGAACAAGCATGCGCTGCACCTTGTTTACAAGCAGAGGAATGCACATGCACGAAGGACAGTGACAGGGAAGAGAAGAATTGTTGAATAAAGTCGTTTTTGTTTTAGCTTGTAGCTCGTAGCTTCATAAAATTAAGGTTGAACCACTGATGTCACATGGACTATTTTAATGATGTCCTATCTACGTTTCTGGGCCTTGAATGTGGTAGTTCCCTTGCTGTCTATGCAGGGTCAGAAAGCTCTCGGATTTCATTAAGAATATCTTAATTTGCGTTCCAAAGATGAACAAAGGTCTTAGGGTTTTGATGACTTTTCATTTTTGGGTGAACTATCCCTTTAAATTTGGTCTGTCTTTAACAGTTTACAAGTTAGGCCATGTCCACACGTACACGGGTATTTTTATAAACGAGTTTTTCCTTCTTCTGTTTTTAAAAAAATCTCTGTCCACATGAAAAGGCAAACGCATGCTATGAAGCACTGTCAAGAGCATGCCAAACCAACAGTTGGCGATATAATCTTAACCGTAAAGCCATGTTGGCCAATCAGAAGCCTGAAAAAGTTTCCAGTAGGCGGAGATAACAGCGCAGGCTCCGATGACGTCACAAGCCAAAAACTCCGGTTTCGCTGTCTACACGATAACACTGCAACTGGAGTTTTTGAAAATCTTCACCCTGGCAGGCGTTTTCAAAAATTTCAGTGACCTGGTGCTGCGTTTGCGTGTGGACGAACGGCCAAACCGCGTAGAAAAAGCTGAGGTTTTAAAAATAACCGCGCTTGTGTGGACAGGGCCTTAGTGGTAAAAATATGTTATGTTAAAATATGGCAGAAATATTCTGCTTTTTGAGGCAGAAATATTAGTTCTAGCTCCTGAGTCAATTTTTGAAAGCACAAATAAAAACAAAACTCATTCTAGATCTAAAATCACGTCTAGACCTTCCCAAAATGCAATTAAAATATGACTTCAGTGCATATAATATAGATATGCATAAAAATAAATACTTATGTTTTTACAGGAAAGCTTTTCAGCAGTTCTACAAAGAACATATGGAATATTCCTGTCCGACAGAAGACATCTTCCTCGAATGACCTTCAGTCTATTTGTATTTTTCCATTATCACATACTATATGAGGTGTCGCATGATGGTGGTTTTGAGCCTCTTTGTACCGTGTTATGTTGATGATATAATGTTGATGATGTCTATTTTAGACAAATGTTAAAATCGAAACAGATATCAGCTACAGCGCAACTACTTTCACATAGTACAACTTGAGTATTACTGACTGGTGTAAAGCCTTATGAAGTTTAATAACAAAAAAAAAAGTTTAATGTGACTTGTATAAATCATTTGTGCGAAGTCTGGTTTTGAATTCATTCGAAGCACAATGTCTGATGCATTAATGATGGATGAAACATCACAAGGAGATCTTAAAACAACTGTATGTCAAAAAAAATTTTACCTTGAAATATCAAGTTTCAAAATCATTCTGATTATTCACTTAATCTGAGTCGAATGGTTTCTGTTTTTTTTCCCGCGCTCCTCCACAAATGCCTGGGAGTGTGTGAGTTTGGTGAGCGGCTACGAAATATCGCGAAAAGGGCAGATTGCTTTACGGCAGCAACAAATGCACGTGTACTGTTAACTGTAACTACGACAGCGAATTCCACTCTTTTAAATGTAGGGGGCTTCAAAGTCGCAAAAATACACATACGGTTGCTTTAAAGCTAGACTGGATCCAAAATCAAAGATTATCTGAAACCAAAGCTATATTGGGCCATGTCCTTCTTCACTCAGAATGGATGTGAACTGTGTAATTGAATTCAGCCCAGTTTGTCCATCTGGTGTCCCACTATGCGAAACCCCAGGTTGAAGACCACTTTCCAACGTTTCTCACATTGTTTTGAAAGGGTGGTTAGCACCGCTTTGAACCGAAGGTTATGAACCCCTGATCCAGAGCATTGCAGTGCCACAATTTCAAGTGTTGTATGTTAAATAGGGTAATTGCTGCCGTTTTTCTTCAGTCAGTTGAGCACTACAAAGTCTCACAAATACAATATGGCATCCATGCTCACGTCTGTGAATGCTTTTTCTTTTTGGTTCTCGTATTTAATGTTTATGTGTGTTTATATTCCCATATGTTGCTCTGTTAAACAGAACGTAGTGTGGGCTTATTCGCATTCTGCTTCAATCTCGGTATCCCTGACGTATGTAGCTGTGAAAACCAAATAATTATATTTTCTTTTTATATATTATATATATCTTATTTATAATTCTATTGAAATGGAAAGATCTTAAAATATATTATTCTGGCAATTGAAACATAAGGAGAGGATGCAACATTACTGTCATAATGACAGAAATGGTGCTGAGGAATACAGCTGTCTGGTAATAAAAAAGTTTGTGCTAATTTTTTCTCCCCAGGGCCCAGATACAAAAAGAAAGGTTTTAAAGCCAAGGCCTAAAATGGACCCATCTTCACCAGTCCTTTCAAAATGGCACATCCTCACAGCATGCGCTTAACTAATATGCAATATTCACTAAATGAGCAAAGTTTTCATTGAATAGATCAACAGGCCAAATGGTTTTCAGTAGAACAGTGTGAAGATGTTTTGTTGGTTCGGCCATTTTGAAAGGTGGTATTCAGTTATTAGGATCATTTGTGTCTGCAAAAAATATCTGCGAACCGATCCTGCAAAATCACAAGTTGTGCCTATTTCATTTCTCAATGTACATTGTTTTGTTTTGGGGTTTTTTTTGTTGTTGTTGTTTTTTGAATGATCATAACTGTTCTGTGGAACCCATAAAGTTAAATCCTATTTGTAAATGAATTGTCCTGGTGTGTAATTATTAAAAGTGTATGTGTGGCTATGTGTATACACACAAACAAGATTTTTATACACGACTTTTCAAAACTGTGGGATTGGTAAGATTTTTTTAAATGTCTTTGAAAGTCTCTTAGGCTCACTAAGGCTGAATTTATTTGATCGAAAATACAGTAAAACCATTAATATTTTGAAATATTATTACAATTTAAAAGTTTTGTATTTTAATATTTCTTAATGTCATTTATTCCTGTGTTACATCATTACTCCAGTCTTCAGTGTCACATGACCCTTCAGAAGTCATTCTAATATGCTGATTTGCTGCTCAAAAAATTTACAATGTACAGTAGAAAAGTTCAAAAGAACATTTATTGTAAATATATATATACAGTGGGTACGGAAAGTATTCAGACCCCCTTAAATTTTTCACTCTTTGTTATATTGCAGCCATTTGCTAAAATCATTTAAGTTATTTTTTTTTCCTCATTAATGTACACACAGCACCCCATATTGACAGAAAAACACAGAATCGTTGACATTTTTGCAGTAACAATGTAAAAGTAAAAAAGTCTTTTGAATCAGTTTAATGCATTCTTGATGAATAAAAGTTTATGTAAATTAATTAAACTTACTGACCTTATATGTTTAATTAAACTAAAATAAATTTTTATATATACACTATTGCATTCAAATGTGATATTCTCTGGGTTTAACCTCTAAAAGTACATCACAGATCAATTACTCTACTACTATATTTTTTACATTTCTACAAACAAGATCATATACATTTTTGACATTTCAGACACCACATGGCAGGCTATTTTGTTTATTTTTTTGCTTCAGCAATGGAAGTAGTTGGGTTACAGAGAAGCCCATAGAACTGGAAAGTAGTGAACACAGACACGTATCAGCAGTATTGGAACATCATTTTTCTAACCAAATTAGTGAACCGGCACAGTTGTCTAAAAAACCCATTAAGATGCTCACAAGCAGGTCTGTGCATGTTAATTCTCAGAAGAGTCGGTCTCCTCCGTGGAACCATCACTCTCCATTTCGATCCTCTTGCGTTGGTGCAGGGACTTGCGCGGTGAGGCCTTCTTGGATGTTTCCTTCTGTCCCGCAGCGCTGCTGCTGCTGTTGTTGGAGGTCGGGCTGATGGCGACTTGAGCTATGCTGGAAGAATCACAGAATCATAGTGTTAAATGCTAGTATATTAGCTTTAAAAAAAGGTGTTAAATATAAAAAGATTGTTAGCAAGCTCCCCTTTTTTTAATAACAGACAGTTCCTATTTAACCAGCAAGTGACTGTAATATACTCTTTTAAGCAAGTAAAAGCTCTCTCACAGTCTCTCCAGCTCCTGGTCCATCTCTGGATCAATCAGCAGGTCCGGTTTATTGGGAAGAGCACCTGATAAATATATATGACACCAGATAAAGCGTTCAGTTTATATTTCTAATTATTAAAAGTTACTTTTATTCAGAAATACATTTAAGCATCATCTAATGCTCACCGATGTCTTGGTTTACTCCCTCATGTTTGGCCAAGGCCATCAGGAAGCCATAGAAAGACACTCGCTGACTGCTCTCTAATATCTCCTTAATGGCAACACTGGAAGGAAACCTAGGAAGAAAAGAAATCACTATCATGTTCTAGTAGTGAGGATGGCTATAGTGGGTCCCATTATATTTAGTGATAAACAAGTTACTATATAAGCCTATTATTATAATTGATGCAATAATTACAATTTAATTTAAATATTAGTATATATTTAAATATAAACTGAATATAATTAAAAATTAAATAGCAAATTCAAGTGTAATAAAATTACTTGAAATTATTTCAAACTATTTTTAAAAAATCTGTAATGGAACTTTTAATATTGTA